CGTGTTTTGTGAATTTTTTTTCATTTCCTCTATTTTAGGGGGTGTTTGTTTCACTCTTTTTATAGAATAAGGAATAGGAATTGGATGTGATCGTGTTTTGTGAATTTTTTTTCATTTCCTCTATTTTAGGGGGTGTTTGTTTCACTCTTTTTATAGAATAAGGAATAGGAATTGGATGTGATAGGGGCAAAACTATAAATAAATGATTCTAAATGTATCTCATTTCTAAGTTTGGTTCATAACAATTTTATAGATTTCAAAATCTATAAAGTTGGAAAAGAGGGGGGTTTTTATGGAAACAAAAATCCAATGAGTTTAGGTGGAATTGGGTGAAAAAGTTGACACCACCCACTTCATTTTCCTTTCTCTTTGTTTTTCGGAATCTATAAAAACCAAACATAGAAATGATTCTATATTTTCTCATTTCGAACAAAACTAAAGAATAAAAATTGGAGGGTTTCTATAAAGTTAGATTCTATATTTTAATGTTATAAAACAAATATAGAAAAACAAAAAAAATAGGATTCTACAAACAACATAAAATTATTCTTAAATTTTTTATAGATCAGATACGAATCCATTAAAAAAAAACATTCTTTCCTAATAGGATTTCAAGTAGAAGAGGCGATGCTTTCTTCTCACTAGCACGCAAAAGGAACTACTGCTTCTACCGTGTTGAAAGCTTGCATCGCCTCCACTCTTCCCTCAAATTCCTTTATTCCTTCCTTCTCTCCAAAAATTACTCATCTCCTCCTCCTCCTCTTATTTCTAATGGCTTCTCTTCCTCTTCAACCTCCAATGTGGATTCAATGGCCTCTGAAGGCGCTTCTTCAGAGAATCTGGAGTTCACTCCGACGTGGGTCGTCGCCGGCGTTTGCGCTGTCATCGTCGTCATCTCTCTCTGTGTTGAGAGATTCCTTCATTATCTTGGAAAGGTTTGGCCCAAAATTTCACCTTTGTTTTTTCCTTTTTTTTGTAATTTTTGTAGGCTTTTTTGATCTTTTGGGAGATACCCATTCGGTGATTTTGGGTGAATTGAAATGGGTAGTTTAGATTTTGGTATAATTTTGATTTATCGTTTCGCCCCAAGTATGATCGATTCAATAATTGGGAGGTAACCTTATTATATACTTCTTGCCAAAACCTGTGTGGAGTTGATATAACATTTTAATACCTGTATGGAGTTCATATAACATTTTAACTTCCTAAATTAATTTTTATTAAAGATAAACGAATTAAACTGAGGTTGGTCATGAAACTAGGGTTTTATCTAAGCCTTATAAGTTCCATCCCAAAGGCAGGTTCCTTGATAACTTGGTGTATAAGCAAATAGAGCTGAGGCACTGCTTACACAAAACGATATATGCGTGTTTGGCAATGAATGATGAAAATTTTGAGTTAAGTGCTGCATAAAAATAAGATTAATACCACATAATTTGTTCGAATTAAGTGGAGAGGAAAATGGCCTAAGGTACAAGGGACTAGTTATTGGATGTGGTGTCTGATTGATAGAAGGTAAGAGGATAAGTTGTAAGTTACGCAAGCACATTTCATAAACCCGTCCTTGGCAATGAATATTTCCTCAATTTGTGGAACTCAGTTAAATATTGTACATCCCAAAAAACTATGCTGAGGTTGTTCTTTTGTATGTTGTTACTTTATATCTTACATGAGCTTTGATAAATCTCCCATTGTATAACTAATTTTGATGATCTCTCAGCATTTGAAACAACTGTTAGTCTGGCTTGGTATTGTATGACTAAATCAATGTTTCTCAAGTGGAGAGAAACGTTGGATATGAGGTTTGTTGAGAGAAAATCTCTCAGAGACAGTTTGAGAGGGGTGGAGATGATGAGATTTTTAGCCTATAAATAGTAGTAGAATCTACTTGCAGAAACACAACGAAAAAGGAAGAATCAAGCCCCTTACCCATTACCGGAGCCCCCCTCAAAAATATCAGTTGTCCTTTCCTCTTCTCTGTGCTCGATCACTGGTATCAGAGCCACGACGACGGCTGCTGGGAGTTGAGATCACCGACGACGGCGACGACGACTCTGCTACTGTCAACGGCTGCTTCGATCGACGACAACAGCGACGACGTGTCTACTGCTGTTCAAACCCCTCTATTTCTTCATCGATCTCACAGGTTGTTTCCGATCTCCTCAATTTCTTGATTGATCTCTAAGCTTGGCCGCCTACGAGCTTTGATCGATCCGTCATTTTTGGAGTTAGGGTTTCAAGAGAGGGTTTTGGGGAGAAGAGGGAATAATAGAGGAAGT